CATGGTACTGAACTTTTACTGAGAAAGTTAGATGTTAGGAATGTCAGGTTAGTCTTTATTAGACAAGACGAATGTAAAGAGTGCTTTGATGACCTCATTATGGCATCATCTTCTGCTGTCCATTTGGAGGTACTCAGGGAATTGGCTTCTGTCTCCACAAAAGCCCCATGTGAAACCTGATCTTCATCAAAGTTTCATGTATAGTGAGGCTCTTATCATCTCACCTATCAAATCAAGACAAATGACTCTTACCAACTACCCCCTCTAATCAGGGATAAATGATCTTAAAAGATATTTTTCACAGTTTGTAACAAAAAGGCATCATTAAACTTGTATGTTTATTTAATGTGACTTTGGTTTGATAAATAAAGACCACATTCAAAACAACAACAATAACAACAACAAAAACACACACACACATAACATTAACCTATATAATTATTTCCTGGAAATTTAAAATGTAGTCAAATTCCAAATGTCAGGTAAGACCACAGCCTATTGCTATAATTGGGGCTGAACGTGATCAGACAGGTTTTTTTAAATGGGGGTTTTGTATAGACTGACCATCTCTTTCCTCTTGGGATGAAACCCTAGCACAGACAGAGATCTCGGCAGGTCCTGTTTATTAGCTATTACTAACAGCGGCGATCCTTGGTTTTCAGCGAATTTGGTGACTTTGTGCAGCTCCGTCTTGGCCTCCTCCAGTCGATCCACGTCTACAGAGTCCACCACATAAATAATGCCATCCGTGCACCTACTGTAAGATTTCCACAAGGGCCGGAGTTTCTCCTGCCCACCAACGTCCCAGAAATGACAGCTTATTCCTTTGGCCGTGCCATTACTCAGCTTGATTTTTTCCGTGTTGAATCCTATTGTAGGCACAGTGTTGACAAACTCGTTGAATTTCAGTCTGTAAAGGACCGTGGTTTTCCCTGCGGAGTCCAAGCCAAGCATCACGATATGGAGGGACTGAAACGCAGATATGTTGGAGAAACTGTTCCCCATTTTGATCTCCTCGTTAGTAGGGGTAAAACCAATGCAGACCCCGTCGGCACCAGCGATTCGACCAAATTCAGACTGGACGTGATGAAGCGATCATTGCAGTGCGCGTGAGATCTGCTCTGTAAACACTCCTCTATGAGCGGAGAGTCTCCGCAGTAACAGCTCACATCACCATTCCCACCACAAACTGCTGAAAATTCCTTCTGACGGCTCGGCGTTCAGTCTCCCCCGGCGCTCGTCCACATCAGCGATGAATGAATGTGATCAGAGATCTCTTTTAGGCATGAGTGCGCTTACTCACGCGGTGATGGACACAAGCGAGTGTATGGTTATGAATGAAGCCAGCGGTGACCCTGCAGCAGCTGCTCTTCACACTGGAGAAACTCCGCCCGCATTTCATGTGAAAACTGAAAAACAAACCCCTCTTATGGCAAGCCATGTATTCCTTAAACTAGCTTGTATACATTTTTGTTATCAGTACTTATTTTTTGAAAAGTTGTAAGTAGTCCCGGCTAGCTTTTTATTTTTCAATAATAAGACCAATTATTACTTAATAATTAGATATTTGTTTTGTGTATCCACCTTAAAAACCTTCACCATATAGTGAAACAAATATATGATCATATACTAAAATACTTATTGTTACTACTGCAAAGCTATGATTATAATGATTATAATTTTAAAATGAAAAATTAATGACAGTGCTTATTAAACAAAGTAAATTATAGTATTTATCAAAATAACCAAAAATACAAACAATATTAAGTATTAAAGTACTACTTTAGCTAAAATATTTTTTTTATCAATACTGCCTTTAGCCCTATGCTGGTTAGCCTTTTACCCTGAATATGGAGAAAAAGGGCAACCTGGCCACCTCATTCATTTGTAAGATTTTTAAACAAACAAACAAACAAAAAACTTTTATGGTTTATTTTCCCACAAAAATGTGTTGTTCCATCAATGTTCAATCAAACATATATATTTTCTACAATCATACACTGTGGGAGTAGTGAAAAGAATGTGCTCATTAAATATGTGTTCCCATTGTACCCTTGCTGTCTAGTGTAGTTGATCAATCATTCAGCATTAAACATTGTATCAACGTTGTTTCAACATTGAAACAACAACTGACTTTTCAACCGTATTTCAACATTGAAGGTCGGTCATATGCCGGCTGGGGATAGTTTTGAAATAATTACTAGTGGGCTATGCCTATAGTGATATTGAAAATGATACTGAAGTAATAAAAATAAGTTCTAGTAACTTAGCTTTAATAAAATAAGTTCTAGTCAAATAGTATAGTTTAACGGATTAAATGTAAAACTGGCTTTCCACACAACTCCCCTCAGCAGTCTGTGCACAGGTTACAGTGTTCTCCAATTTTCGTGGAAGATGGGAGGCATTCGTTCAGAAACTAGGGTGCGTCAACGAGATTGTACCTATTTGTCCTGTAACACGTTAGGAAAAAAAGCCAATTTTAGACACGCATTTTCACACCTCCCTGAAATAATTAAAATAAGCTGCTAATATTTCCACACCCAATCTGAAATCCTTAAAAAAGCCTATTAACTGCGTAGGCCTAGGCAGTTTGGAAAATCGTCTGGCTAAAATCTTTTCTCAAACATTATATTTCTCATTTAATTTCAGTCGTCTTTGACTTACTTTATGGCTATTTTATATATATATATCGCCACCTGGCGTCCATAGTACTCAATTTCGTTCTATATCCAGTTTCTATAATAGGAAAAGTCATTTTAAGTACTTTAGGTGAGCTTTTTTTTTGAGAAATCAATACGTGTAAGTATTGAAAACCAATGATCAGAGCTGTTACTATTAAGAAAAGGAATACTGAGGTCAACTATCATAGACTGAAAAGTTACAAGAATTTACTCAGCTATATTAATCAAAAACTCACGGACGTCTTATCATGACAATCGTTAATGTGAGGTTTATAGATATTATGCAATCACCATTTGCTAAGTTTGACAAAAATATGTTATATTGGGATGTTTAGAGGGACTGTCTTTACACTGAGTAAAACTTAGTCCTTTATATTAACTCTTTGTCCACTAGGTGGTAGATGTGTGATGGAAATGTTAGAGGAGAAATTACTGGGAATGATTATTGGCCTTATTTAGTTTCCCATTTATCTTTTTAGGCAGTAAAAAGGACTCTGAATGTAACATTCAGTCATTGACCGCTCTAATTTATAGACTATTTCAGAACACTATTCTTTTTTAGCATTAGCATGGAGAGAAAGAGAAATGAAGCAATATACTGAGGCAAGCCATTTGTCTTTGTCTTTTTCAAAAGGTCACTCACTGACCCGAGAAAGAACACAGTATATTTATGGCGTATCACAGCAAACACAGGCACATTGATAAACACACACTTGCTTGACTGTATCTTTGGAACACCAGTTAAAACTGTATAAAATCTTCATAGTTGACTGCACATGTTCATTATATTGTACACACACACTTGCATCTTTCAGATTTTTGTCAGTAGTCGAGGGATCCCCCCAGAGAGTGAGAGAGGGCACTGATGAAAGGCTTGTGATGTGAAATATGCCGTCTGCATGCCTGTGTCTAGAATAGGGTAAGATGTAAGCATATTTTTGTTAGACCCACAGTGATGACTGTTTACATTGGTCATAATTTTTGTTGGGAGAGCCTGTCAAGCAGTGAGAAAAATTATGCTGGAGTGATAAGACTGGAATTCGCACATAGCAAGTAGATTTGTAAAACTCTCAGTGGGCACAGCAAGAAAACAAACTTAACTTACAATAATGTTCAGTGTTGCACTTTGACTGCGACCAGATTAATATATTATATTGGAGTCAGTTTTGTCACACAAATTCATCCTATCAACGTATCAATGACATCTACACGCAGTGTAACATTAAACTAATGTTAAATTAACACTTACAAATGCAAATTGGATACAGAGACATGTAGGCTAGAAACAACAAAATGACAAAATTTGTAGTTTCCACAACGTATAGTTTCCACATAATACTTAAATATATGATTTATTACATTTAAAATTCAAATTCAATTTTAAATTCAATAATTTATTTATTTTAACTTTGAATGAACAAAGTGTTCAACTGATTCATTTGCATTGGATTAACATGGGCCATCACTTGCAACAACAAATTAAAAGTTATGATTATAATGTGCATTTTTTGGGGGATAAAACAAAACAAAAAGAAGAACAAACTAACAAACAAATAATAATACATAATAAAACGACTTGTTATACACCACGTGTGTGCTGTTTGGAATTATCATCACAGTCAAATGGACTTAAATTTTTTTACTTTGATCTTTAGTTACTAAAGTTCTGGAATGAAATCTTCGTATATTTGGCTCAAATTAATGCCACTGGGACATCAATGGGCCCAATGGTGAGTAAATATTTTAATTTCTGTAAGCTGAAGATTAGATGCTTTAGTTATAAGCCTACTTGTGCTGATGGAAGTATTTGAGTTTTATTTTTTATGTACAGGTGAACTAAAGTGATATCATTATACATTCCTTAATAATAATTCTGGTGTGTCTCTTTATTAAGACAATAAGGTTTTATTTTTCAATTTTACTTTTCATTCTAACATTTACTTTCACTTATAAAAACATTAGGCTACTTAAATGTGAACAACATAAACAACAGACACTTAGAGCAAAGTAAAACTGGCAGTTTAGCATACAGTGTAATTGGCATCACAAAACAAAACTTAAAACAAAAGAGAAAGGTTGTTACATTATTAGTGAAAAAACGTGTATCTTTTGTACAAAATGTACAAGTATAAAATCATGATGCTATGCAATGAATAAAAACATCTGAACAATCATATCTTATTCTACATTAGAATTTTACATGAGATGGAGACCTCTGCTTGTATTAAAACATCAGCAATACACTTTTCAGTAATTTACTATGCAACAACACCACCGCTAACAAATCGCTGATGTAAGCGCTTTAAATCAGGTGAAATCAGGTGTATCTGGGTCTTGTAAAAGTCAGGTGATGTAGGCAGTCTTTATATGGCACAGTCATCTTGAGAGCAGGGGCTGAAAGCAGTGCTCCGTAGGAGATCCAGACAGTTGACAAGCATGAGGGAGCCTGTGATGTGCCTCCAGCGCTTGGTAATGGGGTTCTTCATTTTGTCCAATCCAGTGTGAAGTTCCTGAATCACATCCCTGTAACTGTCCCCGATCTGGGCTGCCCATGTGACGAGGAAGTCAAAGGCAGGTTTCCACATGGCCTTTACAAAATAAAAAAAGTAGAGATTCATTTGAGTTTGACATGTAAACCTGCATGAATATGACATTTAGGTGCCCTGAATTTTGTTCCCTAAGAAGACTTTATACACAATTTGTATGCTCTCCTTCAGAGTGAATGTGTACAAATATCATAACCCAGTAAGTGCAAGAGGAAGCTCATAATCTCATCAATTATTGGTAGAACATTTAGGTTCCTCTTCTAAGCTGGACACAAACACTATAGACATGCCTTGTGGGTTTCCTGTAATTGGAGCTCAAAACCCAGTTTTAAATTTTACAAGGGTCAGTTACTGTCTCTCGCACCCATCTCACTTGGATATTGCTCTTTATCCATTTTTATAATTTAGAGGATTTAACATTTTATATCTATATAATCTATATTTTGCTTAACTTAATGTTTACCTACTCTGTGTTTTGTTTGCACAGTTGTCTGTACTGTCACTGCTCTACAATCTAAGCCAGGTCATAAGCATTTCAGTGTGCACTAAACGCTGTGTAAACAGAATTGACACTTCTTTTTCATCCCGATCTCATGAGAAAACATTAGTATTTTACAAGGTGGCATAAGTATTTTCATGTGAATTTGAATATGTGATTTGTACAGAGACGTGAAAAAAAAAACCATGAAGGTCCACCCCTGATGAGGGTGAGTAAATGATGACAAAAAACTCTGTGAACTATTTCCTTAATAGTTTAATAATGCTTTCAGTGTTTGTTTTACCTCACTTTCCAGTTGTCCCCTGCTGTCTCTGTGTGGAGCTTCATATGCTTCCATCTGCTGCCGGGACACTTTAGCGAGTCTCTCAGCAAGCTCCCTCCAGCGACCCGCCACCTCCACCGCTGTAGTTAACAGCACAAAGTCCATGACCAGCCGTGCCACCAGGCCCTGACAGTCCATCTTCAGAAGAGCCTGAATGACAGCTATACAGTTACACCACGAGTTTATGATCACCAAACCACTATGCAAAGATTATAACTCTGCTTTATGTCACTGTGTTTATAGTCAAAAATTTAATAATGCTACATGTTTGAATCCCCACATGCCAGTTTTGCAATGTAAAAAAAATATAGATAATGATTACTAATAATTCCTACTTAGAAGTATGACTTCAGGGAGAGGTCTAACCATGTGTAATACTGGTTATAGTTTGGGATGCACAAAATATGGGATTTTTTTATTGCTATTGGTAGATATTGGCTTATTATGGATATTTAATTGTGCATTCCTTTTATTTTACCCAAAAATGAAAATTCTTTCATTTACTCACCCTGATGTTTTTTCCAAACCTGTACTTTCTTAAAAGAAGATATTTTGAAGATGGTTTCAGCTTTTTTATCGATGCAATGAAAATCACTGGGGTCCAAAACCACATCTGGATCTCTCTGGATCTTCTTTTGAGTTCCACATAAAAAGAAATTCATACAGATTTGGAATGACATGAGGGTAAGTAAATGTTAACATAATTTTTATTTTTGGGTGAAATATCCCTAAATGTCTAAAATCTTAATTTTACAAGGAATGTTAATTTTGGCGGTTTGACCAAAAATCTGTATCACGATTTTTGTTTTGGTTTCCCTGACTGTGCCTTTATATGAATCAGAATGCACGAAACAGATTTAGAACCACTGCATTGTAATCACTCTCCAAACAAAGATGCTACATGTAGCATTAGCAGATTTGATTTAAATTAGATTGTATAATTTCACAATTTAAAGCAAAAACAGACTCATCTGACCTTAGCTTTGTGAAATTATGCTATATAAAACATAACTACACAAAACAAAAACAGCAGACAGGCTGCACGAGAATGCAAATTCACTCTGACAGCAGGTGGTGCTTATGGAACAGCAGCGATTCAGCGTTTCCTTGATTGTTTCAACGCAGTGACGAGATCCTGAAGCGTAGAAGTTTTGAAACACTAGGCTTGTTTGAGATGCACCTCGCCTGAAATGAAGGCGAGAGTAGGCGGCTGCAGTGAGGGGAGGAGTGGAATAAGCGCAGTCAAGACAGACAGTTCTGACCTCTCGAAGTGAACAGATACCAACGAGATCAAAGGTGGATATTGCACTCATGTGCTGTGCTGCTGATTAACATGATATAATTTCAGTTCTGTTGCTTTATATGAAAATAAATATGATGAACAAGACACTCAAAGTGTTTGCTATTTAATTCCATACGAAAGGCGTATTTATCATCCATTTGTACTTTAATACAAACATGTATTTTCGATTTTTATAGAAATATGACAACAATCACATATCTCACACCGAGATCACACTGTTATAGTGTTCGGGAATATTCATGCATAATTTAAACACATAATCACATGAAATCAGATAAAAAATAAAACATTTTAGAAGAGAACGTAACATCATGGTTGTCTGAAACAATGAGCATTAAGCTGTGTCATCAGCCAGTCGTTTCCCATCATGCTTTTGATCAGCGCAGTCGCGCTCAACTGCACAATCCGACACAGCCGCCTTGCCCTCGCCAGAGTTTTTTGGCACACGTCAGCATGACATCAGAGCAAGTCGGACGTAACTCTGACACTTTTCTAACCGGCATGTATCTCGCAGTGATCACCAGTGATTGGTTATAGACAAATCGAAAATGTAATCTAAGTTAGTCTATTATTAAGCGAAAATCTCCAGTCATTGCAATCGTGGATTTATACGAGTGCGCGGCAGTTTGCGCCGGCACGCCTAGGAAAAGCACACAAGCGAGTAATTTTGAAACATTATGACTTGAAACACATTACTTTCTTTACTGAGGTGAATATCTCTGTTCTGAGACAGTCAGACAGTATTATACAGCCTAGAATGTGCAAAAATAGCGCTCCCTCATATAATTAATCACTAAAAGCTGTCAGTTCATTGCGATCTCACGACGTTCCGTTAATAAGCTCTCTGCACAATAAATCTCTTATTTACATCGTATCTACACTTTGTTATAATGAGAGGATTCCCGACCTTGCAGAACTCAGCACTTGACAAAAACGTGGCATTTTGAGCAGTGAGTGGATTCTAACTTAAACACTTCTGGTCATTGCGTTCAAGAAATTAAACGATATGTCTGTGACTGGCCAGTGGCTACACTGCTCAATGCTGCAAATATGTTTCGCCAATAGGACTATCAGATGGGGCCCCCTGATTCCCCCGGGGCCCTAAGCGGCCACTTACCTTGCTTATTGGTTAAGTCCGCCCCTGCTCAAAACGGTGTAAATGCAACAAAAACTCATGTTAAAACATGCATAAAAACAGCTTTTACAAACCCAATGCAATTGTTTTTTTTCAGTTTAATATATTAAATGCAATTAAAAGTGTGGTGTTCTGTTAATGTGAAACAACAATAATCTGAGGCCGCCGGCGATCTTTGCAAGTTAAGTTAACAGCTAACTCTCAATTCACAACGCTGTCTACGTTGCTTAGGCACTTGTACCGGTAGCCGGTTAAAAAAAAAATCATTCCGGAAGCGAAATTCAAACCGGTTTACCATTTGAACCGGTATATCTCTCAGCACTAATTTTTCATAATGTAAGTTATAATGTTATCATACCTAAATTATCTTGTAACATTTAAAACGATTGGTTTTTAGTTTAAAGTGCTTTAGCCTAATTGAGAGAATTTGGAAGAATTTAAATATTGACCATTTGTTGGCTAGTAATATCATTATCAGCGATAACATAAAAATAGTTTAGCAGCATATCAGCCTCAGCTATAATTTTAATACACGTGCATCCCTAGTTACAATGCATTTACACCAGACATGCTTCAAATGCCCAAAAAATATGACATTGAAACTGTATGCAAACAGCCTTCAAATAAAATAATTTTTTCCCCTCAGTGCTTGCTAAGTAAAGCCTGTTCTACTTAGTAAACTTCAACAAGAATACACAACAACACAAACTACAAAACTGAGATAGTGTCAGTGGTTTTCTAAGCACCGCCTCAGAAAATGTATACAAGAGCTCAAGTCATCAAGCCGGGCGCTTTGATAAATGTGGCGATATGCAGGAAGCGACGTGCATACTCCTGTGAGCACAATATAATGAGAGTGACTCCGGGCCCCTTGGACAAGGGAAATGTTAGGGAGGAATATTCGGCCATTCTGTTGGCAAGAGTTCTGTCTTATTAATGTGACCTTCTTTTCTCCCGAGAGTTTGGCGTGACATTTAAAAAACTGAATAAGGATTTACGTTCACTGCGCCTTGTGAATATAAGACGTTCACAGATCTACAAAATGTCTGAAACTGTTATGTGATGATGCTAACATGTGACATTTACACTTGCTTGCTCTATACAAGAAAGAAATGAATCAATCTTTCTACACATGCCATTTAATTCAGTTTTCAAATATAAAATAATCAAAAATGCAGGTGTTCTTCATATGCTCAAATATGTTCAAGTGCACAACATCAGCAAGTGTTTAAAAGTTACACACCCTGAACCCACTAATCTCTGATTCCAGTTCCATAGCTTGGAATGTTTGGAATGACAGGAAGTCTGCTTAGAGGGGGAGGAACACGGCGCTGATGCCCCAGAAGACCTGTTAAAGGTCTGGCTCCAAACAGTGCAATGGGATAGCGGGAGTCTTGGATGGCTTCCCTCTTATCAAAGATTCTAGATCTACAAACAAACAGGAAGGTATGTCTTTGACTTGTACATTAGGCAGTGCTAAAGGAATCATGATCAGTAAGATTTTCACTCTTCTTCTGACCTGTACAAGCAGTGACTGTGCCACTCACTGTCTGGATGCAAGTGAAAAAGAGTCATATTGTGTGTGAATGTATCACACTGTGTACACATTGATTGTGTGCATTAGCCAAAGAAAGATAAGGCCTTTCATGTGCACCTGTTCCTGGGGTGTCTCACCTCTGACCCCTATCACAGTCAGGAACTTATTAAGTAAACCCTTCAGAGACATAGAAGTAACAGAAAGCCAAACAAAACCTAAACCCTGTCTGCTCAGACTTTTGACTATCACAGAATCTTGAACCAACTGTTAATGCCTCAAATGAAGTCTAGTGTGGCAAGCAGAACTACTGTAGAAGCTTTAAGTTAATATTTTAATGAAATTAGCAATAGTTTCATGTGAATTTGAATATGTGATTTTTACAGAGACGTGAAAAAAAAAAAAACATGAAGGTCCACCCCTGATGAGGGTGAGTAAATGATGACAAAAAACTCTGTGAACTATTTCCTTAATAGTTTAATAATGCTTTCAGTGTTTGTTTTACCTCACTTTCCAGTTGTCCCCTGCTGTCTCTGTGTGGAGCTTCATATGCTTCCATCTGCTGCCGGGACACTTTAGCGAGTCTCTCAGCAAGCTCCCTCCAGCGACCCGCCACCTCCACCGCTGTAGTTAACAGCACAAAGTCCATGACCAGCCGTGCCACCAGGTAGTAACATCAGTGTGCAGTCCATGAGTGTGACAGGCAGTGGTGTAGCGGACGGGAATGCAGGGCACGTACTGCAGGGGGCCCCCGTGTTGGGTGGCCTCACGATAACCTCCCCGTGCTGGGTTGTGTCGTATGTGTCGACTATAGCCAGAGATATTGTCAAAAGCATCAAATATTGGCAATATTAAGAGGATTTGGCATTTCTAATTAATGTAGGCCTGTTACACCCAGTGATTGGTTATAGACAAATCGAAAATGTAATCTAAGTTAGTCTATTATTAAGCGAAAATCTCCAGTCATTGCAATCGTGGATTTATACGAGTGCGCGGCAGTTTGCGCCGGCACGCCTAGGAAAAGCACACAAGCGAGTAATTTTGAAACATTATGACTTGAAACACATTACTTTCTTTACTGAGGTGAATATCTCTGTTCTGAGACAGTCAGACAGTATTATACAGCCTAGAATGTGCAAAAATAGCGCTCCCTCATATAATTAATCACTAAAAGCTGT